CATATGCGCTACGAATAGGCCCAGACTATCGAACTCTGGCGGTTAGCCTAGTTCTGGGCATTCCCCTGTTAGGCTGCACAGCACTTGACTCTGGAGCTCTGCGAGGGCCATACAGCAGGGAGTCGGTGTCGCTTCATGGGCGGAGACTCTAGCAGGTCCGTCGACACTGGATGGGGTGACTGCGTGTGCGCATCGCTCAATATCTTCACTCCAGATTGTGCTGCATGGCTTCAGTTAGGACTCCTTTCCGTACCCCGGTCATGGCCTTGCGTCCGAGTACCGTTGACTGGTCTTGGTAGTCTATATAGATGTCCCTTCAGTGGGGCGAGCGGTCGCAGCATCGGGCCAGGGTTGATGGGCACCGATGGGGGAGGAGCAGATCCCCACTACGGATGCGACGGTCTGTGCTGAGCAGGAGGGGGCCGGACCCGTCGATGGACCTCGTCGTGCAGGGCATTGGTAGCTCGAGGGTGTCTCTCAGGCAACTCGACGTGGGAGAAGACAGGATGGGCCTGCAGGGACAAGACCAGGGTGGGGCTGAGAGCCGTCCGAAGACTCGGGCTAATGGTAGTAGTAGGCGACAGGGCGGCGACCAGACTAAGCCGATGGGTGTAGCGGAGGTACGCTGTGCTGCTAAGAGTCCGACTTTGGCGGCATCATCACAGGGGGAATATCTCAGTAAGGCACTGTATGGAACATGGTCCGGCAGCAGTAGTAGTATGGATGGTGGAATCGATGCTTTCCTTGAGGAAGTACATGAGCTTAGACGTTTGAATGAGGATCTCCTACGGCACTATGACCAGCGCTATAGAGACCACCAGGCGACAATGCGTCCTGTACAGTCGTCGGACCCTCAGCTGTGGGGTGTCGGTCTGTTGACGGACGTGAGCTGTGCTGGTAGCACCCGGCCGGGTAGTATTGGCCTGGTCGCGAGCCCTCGGACCTTGGAGAGCGAAGTTGTCCGGGCATCTAGGGCCAGCGAGGGCTGGACGGAGCTACAGAGGACCCCTCGACTGATGGGGGTCGGCAGTCCTAGAATGAGCAGTGTAGATAGTCGGGGCAGCAGCCCTAGGAAGGGGGAGGCCACTGTGGAAGTGGTTCGGGTTCGGAAGAAGGCTGGACGCTTACGAGCTACTCGTGACGACACTACAAGCAGGCCGGCGCAGCGTGTAGGAGTTGAGGGCAATCCAGTTGCAGGTCGGATCCCCGTTCTAGGACACCGCTACCTCAAATCTGGCGACATCATCGGCGTTCCCCTCGGCGGTCCTGGAGGTTTGGGGGCCAGAAGTGTCCTATATGCAGCAGTGGGCGGCCCGGGAGTAGGCCAAGGCCATCGGGCTCGGTGTTACATCCCTTCATAAGGTACGGCTCGGTCGAGGCGGCAGTGACGTCCTTAGATCGTCACACCCACGACCCGGAGAGGGGTGTATTGTTCTTTGAACTATGGCGATGGCTGGGACTGCGGCAGCGTCGGGGTGGAAGGCCATGGCCTTTTGATCGGGACTTCACGGAGGCCCTGTTCGACGGGCTGGCTGGCTCCAGAGGTGACGGATCTCCCAATACTGTATCGATGAAGTCTATTCAGGCCGCCTGGTCTCCGGTAGTCTGTTGGTACCCTGTAGCAATCGGACGGTGGATGTTGGTGTCAATACGGCGCCCCTGAGGGCCGCCCCACGGCTTCCTATGAGAGCGTCACCTGTGCTACCACGGAGAGGCAAGCTGAGCAGCAAGGGAGGCATCAAAAGCCGCATAGGGGTAGCAGGAGGTGAAAAGTGTCTCGAGAGGAAAGTAGTATTGTATTTGAGGATTGCGTATTTGAGGGTCGTTTTTCATCAGCCCATGGCCCCACCTGTGCTGCCTATTGACCTCGAAGACGCCCTAGTGCCCGAGCGTTACACGTCCATGAGCAGTAGCGTCCCTCATGTACACTACTAATACCATTGGGGTCGTGTTGGGGCAACACGATTCCCGAGGTTAGTTTCCGTGTTTTCTATGTCCACGGCCGTGTCCTCTTCGACGGCCTCGGTTCCTTCCTGGCTACCATCCTGGCCGCCTACAGTGGCATACTTCCCATGGCCATCCGGCTTGCCATCGCTGTCCTCATACCTCCCCAGCCTCGGCCGAATTCATTTGCCTCGGATTTTAGTTGATGCCCG